ATAACAACAATGATCTCGTTTATTGAACGATCCATTTTTACGCATTTGTTGACATATAAAAATTTTAAACTAATAATCTTACGACACACACGTGGCCAAGTGGTTAGCAAGTAGAAACAGGGATAGTACTTTGGACGACAGCTGTTTCCCAAATATTAAAACGTTGGTTGTTAATGCAACAACTGCAAATTCTGAAAGTCTAAACCACAATTTTGTTGTAAATCAGGAATTAACTTCACAGTTTTGCAATGAATGCAAATGGTTGTTTACATTACACACCTAAATGTATATAGCATTCGTACGGCTTCCGTGTAGTTCTGGTTACTAATGGTATAAAATATCAAATACACTTTCGTTTGACAATCATTATATTGACATCAAGTATAAAATCAAACGTACCGCCTAAGCAATAGACGACATAATTAAAATGATATACATACAATTGCACGAAGATAAGTAAGAACATTGTCGGAAATACTCATACATATCATTCCTATACAAATAACCAATCAGAATCCAATGTAACGTCATATTGTCCCCCCATGGCTGAAAGGGGCGAACATGTTCGGGGACGGAATTTGAACCCACCACCCACAGATTGCGAGTCGAACGCCGAAACTACCAGGCCTGTGTTTCATCGAAACATAATCAAGCTCAAAGATAAATTTTGTCTAATGTTTGACTAAATGATCGTTTCAAGAAGTTGGCATCTCACTTATTTAACGTTCACAGGTCAAGTATGCTACACAGGTCAAGTATTTCTAAATTTAAAGATTATTGTTCTTGTGGCCCTTCATGGTGCTTCGAAAATAAGGTGACTTCTTTTTTCTTTCTTTTTTCACCTATCTTAATGCGGGATTATTCTAATACAATTACTTCTTAGATAGAACTTTAAAGAACTTTAATTTTTTTTGAATGAAATTTTGTGTCCCCGCAGGAATGAAGTAATACGAAAGAATAACAAAGTAAGTAACTTTGGAAACTGCTTGACGATCAATACATACATACATACATACATACATATATTAAACTCATACATGTACTTCAACTTGCGGTGGAATTCGAACCCAACTATGTGGGATTTTGCACACATACACGCGGAATAATTATAAAACCGTATTCAAATTATAATATGACAATATTTCAACATGAATTTCTTTAATGGTTGAAATGGCAACATCTTATCCCGATGAATTTAGAATGCTATCATTTACGATATAGTAATTAACATCAGCAATAATTAACATAAATACTCGCTTCGCGATTAGTTCCTGGTCATTTACAGCCAACTTTCAATCAATCTGAGATTACCCCCCCCCCCTCCAGTAGCTCAGCGGCACTTCTGATGATTTATAACGCTAAACATCGGGTTTCGATACCTGTGGTGGGCACAGCAAGATTACCTAGTTTTGTGCTTAATACTAAACAAACAAATAAATCAAACTATCTGAGATACTTAACATTAGATGAAAAATGTATTACCTGAGCCAAAAGGCTTCCAAGAAATACTTGTGCGTTATTACAAAAATATATATACTACTCCGATTTTGAAGTTTCTAGATCCACTGATTTCTTTGATAAATACTCCTTAGACATCAGAAATATACGGTCTTACTTAATCCTTACTTACACCCACTAGGTTTAACATTAAGGACAAGACACTCCAACAACTGTGTCTAACACTGAACTAAAAGCTACTGTCAATAAATATATCATGGTTTTAAGAACCTTGTATGCTATGACATTACACCATTCATTCTATTCAGTTAACATGGTATTCTACTATTCTTTTGCTACTTATTATTTAACAGGAATAGTAGTTTTTAACGTTGTTAACATAATTATATGTCTCTGGTTTACAACAGATTATTACGTGAGTTACGTAATTTTGAAAGTGCTCTTAATGAATATAAACTTACACATAGCTTGAAAATAAACACAAACACTACTGGTCACATACCCAGAAAAAAAAACAGAATTTTGCTATAACATCTCGCAAAAATGACAACTAATGATAAAACATTCGCATTTGTTTTCCTTTACTGTGTCTTTTTTTTGTGTTTTATTCATATATAAATATATTAAACTTTGGACATGGCTTAAGTGGGTAATGAAGAAAACTTTATTACAAGTAACAAAACTACAACGTTTCGACAAGCTTCTGTCATCACCACATATCTAAAAGTGGGTTCATCATGATCAAGTCTGATCCATAATTATTCACTTTATAAAAAATACCACAACATAATTGTACACCAACTACTGAATTGAATTGACTTGTTTTAATAATGATACATTTGTTTTGCCGTTCTTGTTTCAAGCAAACAAAGCCGTTGTTTCGATTGAGGTAATGGCAGTAAATGCCTAAAGACTTTTTAAGTTTCAATTTAGTTATAACGAGCAAGCAAAAGTAGAATTAGATGTGAGGAACTGTCAAATATTGTTCCAAAACTCAGAGTTTCAAAGGCTGCGGTTAAAAAGAGCATTATAACGTTTAGCTGAAACAGTTGGTTTAAGGTCTAATACGGGGAGGGACGTCCAACAAAAACATCTTGGCGGGAGGATAGTGTTATTCAATTAACTAATTAAATAACAGATTTATTTATGACATCCTCAAATATAAATATGGATATGGAGGACATGCATGGAATCAAAACTGCTCGAAAGAAAATGATCTGAAGCATAAAAGCTTAACGTTTCACGTGTGAATATGGTCAAGCTTAACCTCTCAGAGGATCACAAAACTAGACGAACAAATAGAACTTGTTAAGTTTGAGATTGAGTTGTTGTTCTTTGTTTTAGTTTTAGTGTGTGCGTAAACGTAATCATGAGATGTTTAAGGAAAACTATGAAACAACGTGGTGGGTCGATAAAAATGTGAAAAGTTTTACTGCTTCAGATGTGGGAATATTTGCCATAAATAATGATATTATGAAAAAAGCAATATCACTACTTCATGATTTGTTCCGCAATAGCCACTAGATGGCGTTTAATTGGTTCTATCTATAAATTGCTGCATGATAACGACCCAAAATATGCTGGTTTGGTGAATAAGAAGTATTTAGAGGAGGAGGGCTGGGGAAATAAAAGTCACAAAATGGCCAATCCCAAATCCCAATGCTGATCCAAATGAAAACGTAATGCACCAGTAGAAAACAAGTACTGCTTGCAAGCCTAATGCACATCGGCTTACGTAGATTTGATAGGAAATACTGATTCATAGTCTACAAAAAAATATAGTATCCATACCTCATTGATGTAGCAATACATTTAAGGCTATTAAATATTTACAACTAAATTTATGTTGTCAAATTAACTTGTTATATTGTAACATTGTAAAGCAGGAAGGAGCCACCCAGTGGCACAGCGATATGTCTGCGGACTCACAACGCTAGAAACCGGGTTTCGATACCCGTGGTGGGCAGAGCACAGCTAGCCCATTGTGTAGCTTTGTGCTTAATTCCAAACAAACAAAAGCAGAAAGGCAAAGCGACACTTGAGTGTTGAGACCCAGGATTTTCACTTATGTCCCCTAATCATCACTTTATATGCATGTATATTTATATAAAACCCTTCATATAGATGGGGTTTGCTGAGGTATATAATGAATATTTTATTAAGTAAAATACATCATGGGAATACAATACATCTAAAGAGTAGCTGTAGGTTTATCAGTAGCATCAGCAGTTAAGAGTCTTTCATTCTTTTCGACTCATCACAACACTTCTGTTTTCCTTGTATGCTGCATACAAGCTAAAACGCAATAGTGTGTAAATTAGAAATATATAGACTCCTCACACCGTTATACGCGTGTTCTATGTTCTCTGAGAGAAGTAGTGTTTCGTGCATGAAGTCTCTAGGGCACGCAATACACAGAGAGGGTCAGGATACCACAAGTACGCCCAAAGTTAAGAAGTGGATCTAAAGATCTGCATGACACAGCTGGTATCAACGAACTAAATATACTTAATGAATGAAAAAAAAAAAACTCAATAATTCCATTATCACTAAAAGTTCATATAGTCATACTGATATGCAAGATATTTATATGAATAAGTGTGCAGATAATGTTAAATTATTCAATAACATTGTGGTTCATAAATTGAAGAGCTAAATTATTCATGAAAACATTTTAAGCTAAGCTAAACTAGTATACAATATTTACAATATGATACAGTATTTTAATTATACTTGTACTTTTCAAGCTAAAATCAAGGAAAATAACTTTTTCTTAGAAAAAAACGGTCTTTCATATACTTTCTGAGCAACATGGCTCAGGCCTAAGCTAGGTTGTCACAATTTTAACTATTATGAAGTAAATATACTTAAATACGCTTTTATTATGACTATGTTAAAAAGGCATCCTCACCGTTCACATCATTTCATAACTCTTAAAACTAAGGCTGTGTCATACATTTAAAACTTCTAAGATATCCTTGTATGCTTGCTGTGTTTTTTTTTTTGTGTTTTTGTTCAAAATCAAATAAGTAAATACATTCATCAAACGAATAATGTCATGCTATTAACAATAAAGCCAATAAGAATTTCTTGCATAAGAATGCATATAATAAGACAACCTACGACTAAGTTTCATTTATTTGACCCATCTTAAACTTCGAAATAGGTTCGTTAACAGTTAACATACGAAAACCATATATTTATTTTAACTTTGTGCCAAGTTATGTATTATTCCAAAATTTAGTCATGGTCAACTGGACTATAATCTATAAATTCTAAAAATAAAATCTAAGCCTTCTTTTACCAGTTATTGTTTTCAAACCCACACGTATAACCACCAAGTTCAACAACGATACGATAAGACTACCATATTAGTTATTTCATTTTTTTTTTTTACTACACGATCAGATTCACACAGTGAAGATATAACTACTGAAATGCATACTTATGTATTACGTCTCTACTAAACAGGTTACGAATGTGAATCAACGCCGTCTAGGCGGCAGTCACTTATTTCTTTTCAACTTAAATATTAGGCTTACTTCAGTCTTCGTTATTCGATGTCTAGCCAACTTCACAACAGCGAAATTTCCTTTTCCAATGGTTCGTTCTATTTCATAAAATCCAACGCGGATCGGACCTTTCGGTTTCTCATCCATGCCCATGGTGTTCCACAGTGTCTTCCAAGTTAAACTTAACCAGCTTACTACCGTTGAAACCGCTCGGAAACAGTAAACGCCAGTATTGCATTCATATTTGCACCTAAATTCTCTCTCTGCCTTGGTCTGATCTTGGCATGTGCCGGTAAACACGGCATGACGTCATTGAAAACGTCAGTCGGCAGTAGGCTATCGACTTATCGGGAGGAGTTGATGCCACTTGTACAGATATGACGTCAGGCTCAGCGAGAATGCTAAAATCTAAATAAAACTATGGTTGATAAGTAGTTGTTCGAACAAAGTAAGGCACAGTTTTAGTTGATAAGAAGTCTACCACGTAGGCCTGCGGTTGTTTTTTTGTCACACATACTATTTATACAGTACTCAGAATAGGCTCTCTCTATATATACGATGTGTGGGTGTTCGAGGAAATATTTAAAACAAAACTACGACCTACTGGACTTCTGAACTACGACTTCTCTGTTTGTGTCTTTTGCAACTTACTATGCACGGTTATGTAAACTCCGTTTATAACGTACTTATAGGTGGCAGCTAATTTAAGAGAATTACGAGCACGAAACTGACTGTGAATTTGATACCTGTTACAATAACATAGAAACTATTAAGAACATACGCCTCGCCTACTATCTTTTTTTTTGTCCTCATTGTTCTTTCTAGAAAAATAATCAGATCGTCATCCGATATGAATACTGAATTTCAGCCACATCAAAGCTGTGTTACTGCCCTTTGAACCCCATGTAAGAATATTACAGTTAAATGTGTTTAATACTTTAATTATAATTCCGTTATTCAAAAAAGTATACTACCACTTAAAAGAATTGTAATTCACTTACTCTCTGTGTAATAGAAGAAAAAAAATGAGTACCAAATATATACCCATGTTGGCCATTTTTATCTGTTTGCCATATCAATAATACAATGGTATACATGGCATTAAAAAAATATTCTATGAATCTTTATATGACTGTGATACTTACTATGTGTGAATGAACAGTCGGTTCCAGTATTGTTGGTCCATATAACGTATTCGGCGAGTCTATCTATCTATAAAATTATTATTTCTGTATTTTGAGGGCAATGCATGTTCTGTAAAAATGTTATTTAATTTTCTACAATATTTGTGTACACAACCCCACGCATATTTATTATAATATTGTATTCCAAATCAGAACTAACTAGTTCCATAATTTGTTTTATGCCATAAAACCTATTACTTTAATATTTTTTAAAAAAAGTTATAAATAGTTAATACAAAAAAAAAAGAACCAGTTGTCTGAAATACGTTCAGTTCTGAATTGGTTTCATCTTTTTTTTTTTCGAATGCTTCGTAATATATATAACAGTTGTTGTTTGTACGACTATGTGGTTCTTTGTTATTTGAAATATCCGATGTCTGTAAAACAAGCTCAAAGAAACACAGCTGCACGATAAAAAAGGAATACGAAAGCAGTCAGTGCTTTTTATCAAACAACCATAGTTGGAACCAATTAACCATTATATACTTAATCCTCACTCGTGTGGTGTGACGTCTTGTATAGTTCATTAACAAAGAAGTCTTTCTCTGTAATCATATCGTAAAGCTAAAACATTTTGTGTTAATACAAGTGTAATAGAGCGTGACACTTGGTTATTAGCAAAATAGCTGCACAATAAAGATGCTTATTTTATTAACAATGGCTTTTGACCACTTTCAACATGGAAAACTCTAAACAGTTTTCACTGACATCAAGTTTTTCTTTTATAATGTCAAAGTTAACAAAACAATGGATTCGTATTATATGTTACAAGGTAACACTTCCAGAGAAACCCAGTTTAATCGAAGAACCATTCTCACTCAAATAAACGAGACCCATAAAGAAGCTTTAAAATAATATTTAAACATCTGATGCTCTTGATGGATTGTCTACATTTGCATCAGGAACTCAAATTTATAAATTTTTAACAAAACGCTAACATCTTTAGAATGATACAATAAAGTAGACATTTTTACTGCTTAGTTTCCTTTATTTAGGAGTAACAGAAAGACACAGATCATATCAACGATTTAACGTTGAAAAATGAGAACAACAAGAATTATTAATTCATTTTACACGAATTTTGTGAATACAAACTACTTTATGTTTACTCTCTAATTAGAGACATCGAATTAAGTTTACAACAGAATCCACAAAACGCAGAACACGTCAGATAACACGATATTAGAAGACAAATGTGTCATTTTCCATCTAAGATGGATTTAAACATTCATATCTCATATGGCAGGCTATAAATCGCATGACGTTTTGACGTCATTGCAAGACTTCTATATATAGTACTTGGAGCATTCTGCATTTGCTTTGTTCTCGGGACAAAATAGGAAATGTGTTCACAAGAAAAAGGTGTAACAGAAAGAGAGTTTAACCTACTCAACAGTTCGATAAGTTGTGGTGTCCAATGTTTGCTGGTGTTTCGTCTGTCTGCACAGTTACTAAACAGGAATCTGTTATATTTATGTAAAACGTATACAAAGATAGTGTGAGATTTTTTTTTTTACTTCAGAATACTTAACATAAAAAATCAATGAGATTAAAATAATACGTCCTGCAGTAACAAACATGTTTAAAGCCGCAATTTCGTGTTTTAAATTCTCTCTCTCTCTCCTGACAGGAATTTAGGTCTTTGTGACCTAGGAGGGTCAGTTGGGCTGAGACCTCTTCCTCCCTTTTAAATTCTATTGTTTGTTTTTTGAATTTCGCGCAAAGCTACACGAAAGCTATCTGTGCTAGCGGTCCCTAATTTTACAGTGTAAGTTTAGAGGGAAGGCAGCTAGTCATCACCACCCACCGCTAACTCTTTTACCAACGAATAGTGGGATTGACCGTCACATTATAACGCCCCCACGGCTGAAAGGGCGAGCATGTTTGGTGGGACGGAGATTCGAACCCGCGACCCACAGATTTCGAGTCGAATGCCCTAACCACCTGGCCATGCCGAGCCCAAATTCTATTGTAAACAAACTAAAACTATTTGTATGCTGCTACATATTTAGAAGGGACGATGTTTGGAATCCCCAATATTAGAACAATGGCGTCCCCAAATCAGCATGGTTTGTTTGTAATTAAACACGAAGCTACACAATGGACAATCTGTGCTCTGCCCACCACTGGTATCAAAACCCGGTTTTTACCGTTGTAAGTTTGCAGACATGCTACTGTGCCACTGAGAGGCATCAGCATGGTGAGAATGTTACATGGCTCATTATTTCTACATAGTGTACCAAAAGCCAATTACTATAGGTAGAATGTCTATATATGTTTACAAAATACGCTTAAAATGTCCGCCCTCAAAATCGTTAGGTTACTGAAAATGTTTAGTCCAGTTCATCTCCTCTCTCTCGTTCATCATTTCTTGGTGTTATTATCTAAAGAATCTGTAAATAAAAGATAACAAGATTAATGTCCGCAACGTTACAACCAACTGTACAAGAGACATTGAAATCATGATGATAAGGACATTTTTGTCATCTATTTATACAGCAGATTCTTTACTCTTGTCGATACAAGTGCAGAAAAAAAAAATGTTCACATGTTTTGATGACATATTTCATACACTGTTCTTTAGATAAAGCGTCACCATCAGATTATGATGACACCGCGGATATTAGAGTAGCGGTATTAAAACTTACTTATAGCAGTGACTGGCCGTTTTAAGTTTCAATAGCAACCTTAGGTACATGGTGTATTATTCAAATAAATAACGAACGGTTGCTCGCGCTTATACAACTACGAACGTAAGTATCGTACGAACAAAAAATGTACTTCTTAAAGTAACTTGGAACTCCACCAGAGCTAATTTAAAGCGATATATCAGATCAACTTTAGTAAAGTTTAGTTGACGTAAAGAACTGTTGTTAGTTGTTCAGGTGCTAAACATACTAAAAA